CTTACATTTAAATACTCAGTCCATTCTGAGTTGATCTTTGTAACTGGTGATAGGGGTTGGGCAGCTTCATTCTGCATGTGGATATCCATTTTTCCCAACATCATTTATTGAAAAAACTGTCCCTTCAATGTTCTTTGTATGTGTGGCTGTAGATGTGTGCCTTTACTTCTAGGCTCTATTCTGTTCCATCAGTCTCTGTGTCCATTTTTTTTTTTCAGTACTGGGGTTTGAACTCAGGGCCTTGTGTTTGCTAGGCAGGCACTCTACCAGCCCATATCCGTGTCCATTTTTATCCGAATACCATGCTGTTTTGATCACTACAGCTTTGTGACATATTTTGAAGTCAGGTAGTGAAATGCTACCTGCTTTGTTATTTTTCGCTCAAAATAACTTTGGTTAGTCGGGTTTTTTGTGTGTGGTTTCATGTAAACTTAGATTTTGTTCTAGTTCTGTGAAGAATACCATTGGTATTTTGATAGGGATTACATTGAATCTGCAAATCACTTGGGGTAGTACAGACATTTTAACAGTATTGAATTTTTCCAATCAATGAAAGTGAGCTTTCTTCCCACTTTTTGTGTTCTCATTTTCTTCCATCAATTTTATAATTCTTATTGTAGAGATTGCTCATCCTTTTGATTAAATTCATTTTTAGGCATTTTTTTAACTATTGTAAATAAGCTTGCTTTCTTGGTTTCTGTTTCAGATAATGCATTATCAGCATAGAGCAATGCTACTGAATTTTGTATGTTGTTTTTGTGTCCTATGACTTTAATGAATTCATTTAATCATTTTTTTTTACATATATGATCATGTCACCTGTAAACAGTGATGCTTTCACCTCTTCCAATATGGGTGTCCTTTCTTTCTGCCTAATTACTTTGGTCAGGGTTTCCAGCACTGTGTTGAATAAAAGTGGTGAAAATGGACATCCTTGCCTTGTTCCAGATATTAGAAAGCTTTCAGCTTTTCCCATTCAATATAGTGTTAGCTACTGGCTTATTATAAATGGGTTTTGTTATGTTGAGGTATGTTCCTTGTATGCATAGTTGTCCAGCATTTTTATCCTGAAGTAACATCTAATCTTATTGAATGATTTTCTGCATCAGTCGAGATGACCATACGATTTTTGTCCTTCACTCTGCTATATCTAGCATCACGTTCACTGATTTGTGTATGTTGAACCGTCTTTGCATCCACTTGAACTAGTGAATAATATTTGTACTGAGCTGTTTGATTTGCTTTGCTCAGGTTGAGGATTTTTGTACCTATATTCATCAAGGATATTGACCTGCACTTTTTCTTGTTGTTGTTGCGTCCTTTTCTGGTTTCAAGGTAATGCTGGCCTCACTGAATGTGTGTTTGGAAGAATTCCTTCATCTTTCATCTTCAGGGGAATTAGTATTAGTTCTTCCTCAAATGTTTGGTAGAATTCAGCATGGAAGCCATCTGGTCCTGGGCTTTTCTTTGATGGGAGGCTTTTGTGAGGGGTTGTTTTTATTTTTAAATTACTGGTTAAATCTCATTACTTACTATTGTTTTCTCTTTCTTCATGATGCAATTTTGGTAAGGTGTGTATGTCTAGGAATTTGTCCATTTCTTCCAGATTATCAAATTTATTGGCATATAGTTGTTCATAGTAATCTCTAATGAGCCAAGCATGGTGGTGCATCCCTGTAATCCCAGCACTTGGGAGGCTGATTAGGAAGATCACAAGTTTGAGGTCAGCCCAGGCTACATAATGAGACTGTATCTCAAAAAAAAAATTTAATAATCTTTTGTATTTCTGTGGTATCAGTTGTGATATTTCCCTTTTTATCTCTTATTTTGAATCTTCTCTTTGCTTTTCTTAGTCTAGCTAAAGGTTTGTCTCTCTATATATATTTTTTATCTTTTCAAAGAACAAGTTCTTTGTTTCATTGATCTTTGATATTTCCTTTTAGATGGAGCCCAGGTCCATATTATTTGCCAGGAGCCTGCTGTTGGTATATTGTCATTGTTTCAGGACTAGAGAGCAGTCCAAGGCCAGGTTTGTCCCAAATACTCTGTGGGTGTATTGCTCAGAAAGAAACAGAAGAATACCTAGAGAGAGTAGTCTATTGTCACAAGCCCCTCTCCTTGGGGTCCTGATATCGCGCAGTTATTAGCCAGTGGTCATACACTGTAGGATTCTGCCGGGTTTTGGGCAGTTACCACTGATGGACACACCTGTGGCTACCAAAGTCACCAAGTTGTACCACATACTGAATCCATAGTCCACCCAAACCAGTACGACACCGAGTCATGACCAGCTATGGGCTGCCTATTGTGGAGGTGGACTCATGGCCCAAGATCACTGTAACTAGCTGTGGGTGATGCTAGCCCAAAGGGAAGTATGATAGACTGGGGCTCTGTGCCTCCCCCAGCACTGGAGCTATATCACAAGCAGGCCTGAGGATGGGGGCCCTGTGTTAGCTTTTACCAGCCTAGCTCTGAGTTCTAGGGTAAAGTCTTATGCTTACTAGCCTGTCTTACCCCCCAGCAAACTGAGTCAGGTACCATGCTATGCTGCCCAAGATTGGAGTAGTGTTGGTGAAGGTAGACCATTGGCCACCTGGGCTGATGCTAAGCTGGGTCATGCCTGAACTTGTCTCAGTCCCAAGGATCTGCACAGGGATATGCTGAGGCCCATGCCACAGCTGGCAGTGACACATGCTGAAGCAGCTGTCTGTCCCTCCTGGGTGCAGGTCTCTGCCTGGTGCCTGGGCAGTCCTAGAGCCCCTTTTATGAGCACTGGCCTGAGCTTTGCTGCCCAAGATTAGGGAATGACTGTAGAGAAAGTCCCTTGGCCAACAAGACTGGTGTTAAGCTGGGCCACACCTAAGTCTCACAGCCATAGAGGGCCTGCAGTCTTGGGAGGTGGTCGGATGACCTCAAGGGAACACCCTTAAGACTGGCACTGATGCAGCCAAAACTTGAGTCTGTCCCACAGATACACAGGTCTCTCTGCCTGATGCCAGAACCGGTCTAGAGGCTCTGTGAGGCCTGTGTATGAAACGATTTCTATTGGGTGCAGGTCTCACTATGGGGGGCCTGGCACTGGGATCTGAGACAAAACCCTGCACTACCTTTCATGCCCTGCTTAGCAGTTAGCATCTTGCTCCCCACATTCTGCCATCCCAGATTGGAAGAGGGGTGTCTATGCTACCTGGCTTAACACAATTCTAGCTGCTCAATTCACAGGTACTGACCTGGCTGTAGTGGGTACGGGGCTTTGCTTAGCACTGGGTTTCACTGCAGTGGGCCTCATACTGGGTTTCATTTCCAAGGTTTGGACTTAAATCTACCTCCCCCTAGCAGGTCATGCCTCTCTCCACCCTGGGCTGCTTGGAGTTGGGGGAGGGATGACACAGGTAGTTCTTTCCTTCCTGCTTTCTCCAAAGTGTCTTTTTGTGTTGTTATACTGAAAGCAGGTACTATGGCATCTCACCCAATAGCCTCAGCTCTTGCGAAGGTACTTTGGTACATGAATAGCTACCCAACTTGGTGCTACCATTTTTCTCCCCTCCCCCCACACACTCTGAAGTTCCTATCTTTTTAAAACTGAAATTTATTCTTCAGGGTGTTTTGTTTTAGTGGTACTAGGGATTGAACTCAGTGCCTCCCACTTTCCAGGCAAGACTCTACCATTTGCACCATGCCCCCAGCCTCTATTCTTCAGTTTTGAATACCACACTTTTAAAAGCTGAGGTGTACCTCATGAACACCAAATATAAAAGGATCAACTTAGTTACCTAATTAGGCTTAAGCACAAAAGGTTCCTCTTTTTTTTTTTTTTTTTTCCTTTTGGTGATACTGGGGTTTGAACTGAGGTCCTCACCCTTGCTAAGCAGACGCTCTACCATGTGAACCATTCTGCCAGCCACAAAGGGTTCTTAAAAGAACCCTATAAAAGTCAGATGCCAGTGGCTCCCGCCTATAATCTTAGCTACTTGGGAGGGTGAGATCAGGAGGACTGCAGTTTGAGGACAGCCCAGGCAAAGATTCCATCTTCAGAAATAACAAGCAAAATGAACTGGAGGTGTGGCTAAAGCAGTGGAGCACTTGCTTTGAAAGCACAAAACCCTCAGTACAAACCCCAGTCCTGCCCCCCCAAAAAAAATTGCTCACTAATTTCTAGTAAGAAAATAAAAGCCACCAAGACATTAAGTGTATTGCTGACCTTCATTTTTTATTTAAATATAGTGATTTTTTAAGAGAATAAACAAGTGACAACAAAAACACTACAGAGCAAATATTTTACATAAATGTAAACATGCATGTCTACTTCATAATTAAGTAAAATGAACTTTTAGACACAAGATTTTAAAAAAAATCATTAAAGAATGAGACAATAAACCCTAGGACAGAAATAAAAGGAGCAACAAAAACACACATTTCATAACGGTTCAATTGGTCTTGTCTTTCAACCTACTAGTTAAGGCCTGAGTTTCAGAAATCCTACGTTCCTTGCCAAATGGAAATATCCAGTTTGGCTATACCTAATGTATGTCCACAAACAGACAAACAATTCTTTCAAAATAGTGTAATAAATATATCATACACACACACACACACACACACACACAAAAGCATTCATCAGCCTCTCAAATAGGGAAGAAAGGGTTTTAGGATTTTCAAGTTTTCCTACCACTGAAGCACACCACACATAGAAAGAATGATTCTGCTACACACATAATGAGTGGCATTATCACAAAAACCTCTAGTTTATTTGTAGTAACGTCTCCTCAAACCATGTGTTACTAAGGCTTGCCATGCCTCCTCAGACAATTCAGACTTAGCCTTTCCTCCTTTCCTGAATGAACCACAACACAGCAGACACTGCACCGAGCAAAGGAAAGGCAATTTAACATGAGACCTGTTGAAACTATTCCAGGAATGGGGGGAGTGGGGATAAAGGAGAATGATATGACATATTGAAGAACTTTTGTAAATGTCACAGTGTACCCCCAGCACAACAGTAATATTATAATAAAAAATATTAAACAAAAATAAACTTGGGATAAGTAAAAAAAAAAAAAAATCAGTTAAGAGAATTTAACATGGATATTTTCAGCTTTGTCCACATGCCTGGAATGTTTTCTGTCTAACCTCTGGCTAGAGGCAGCACCTGAATGTCTAGTTCTGTGATGACATGGCTTACTTTTTAAGGAGCTCATACCAACCAGAGTTCAAGCAAGAGAAAGGTCAGTTTGGAAACACAGGGCACTGCCCATGGGTTGAAATGAACAGAGAAAGAGTCCTTAAGGATGGTGCCTACAGAACCTCAGAGTGGGGTTTCAGATAGGGGAAGCAGAGCAGGACAGGCAGTGGAGGCACAAAAACAGGAAGAAATTGTCTAGTTTGGCTGAAGTCACCTGTGAGGGCACATTCTGGATTTCCAAAAAGATTCCTTACTCCAGTAGGGTAAAGCAGGTAGGTCAGGGGACACACCATCAAAGGCTAGAGAATAACTGTGCAGTGCTGGGCAGGACAGGTAACAGGAGAGGGCTGAGGCTCAGAAAGCTGACCCACCAAGCCCAGTTGCCACCATGAGTATTTCCTATAGAAACATCTTGATCCAACATGCCAAAAATCACAGTTCTGTCTGCATAATTCAAGGCTTTTGGAGAAAAACAAAGGGGAAGGGGTATAAAGAGACATTTTTGGTTCAAGTTCCTAGACCCTGCTCCAGTTTGAGCAAGTTAAGAGCAAGTAAAACTATTCCCACTTCCAGAAACAATTCAAGTCTTCCAATCCTGATCTTCACCGTCCCTGAGCTGTCGTTAACAAGGAATTATAAAGCAATTATCAGTTCACTATAAATAAGTTCCTACCTGCCACTAAATCCAGTGAGCCCTCACTATGGGCAGATTCCACCCAAGGTACTAACTAGCACATTCCTATCACCTGCACTAGGGCAGACCAGAGGGGGTAGACCACTGGACAATGGCTCCTTGTCTCTTCTCCAGCTCACTGGAGTAACTATGATGAAATGTTGACTGACATGGTACAACTTTAATCAAAGCCCCCATATGGACCGTCCATTTCCCTTCTAGGTCCAGACGACTTTCCTCCAGTAGCTCAGGAGGAAGAGGCCACATAAATGGAGGCACCCAAGAAAGGAAAATCATTATTAATGTCTTGGTGTCCATGGAACCCAAGTAGATAGAAATTTCCTAGGACATACACACTACAGAAATGAGAGGTTCCATATAAATCATAGGATGGCTTAGCACACACTCATTCAATACAAAGCATTTACTAGTGACCAGCTTCCAGAAAAAAGACTCATTTGGAAACTGCACACTGTAGAAGGCAATCTTGTGACTTTCCTCTAGTTTTGTATAAAAATACACATCAGTCTGGGAGTCAGGCACAAACAGTGGTACAAAAGCATAAACAGAAAAACCTTGTCAAAGAATGTGCTCATTACATACTGAAGAACTCCTATCTAGGTTTCATTTTTGAAACTTGCTGCTGGCTCATTTGTTCAGAAAGGTTTCTTTACTATACTTCTCTTCCACTCCTACCCCACTGCTGAAATCCACTGAAGAATGCCCAGAATGGATCCACATGGAACTGAAAGCCAGCCAGGTGGCTGCTGCTTTAATCTGCTCATTCAGCCTTGTATAGGTAGGGACTGTCTGGACCTGAACTCAAGGCAGAAGTACCCCAACACTTATCTTTTGGAACCCAATAAAAGTGCTGATATACATCTAAAAGTTCCATGTGTAAGAACCTCTGATCCCAACTGGCAAAATTCAAGGGAAGAGCAGTGAGAAGAGCCTGGACTGGGGCAGCAGACCGACCCTGAACCAGCAGTGTGCTTTCCTTTCTTAGTTTATAATGAGGGGTTGCGCTAGCAGATCTCCAGGTCCCACCCAGCTGACTCAAGGACCCCACTGAAGTCTCTTTTCACATGGGCTTGTCATTACCAATTTAAAGTGGTTTTAGCCTATTTCTGAGAGGAGATGAGGTTCCCCTCTGTCCTTACCTCTCAAAGACTGCTTCATTTCACTGATTCAGATCACCTGGCCAGTGATGGCTGCTGAGGCTTAAAACTAAATCACTGTCCTGATGAAGACATGGTATTCTAGGAACCTAGGCCAGGGCACATCTGTCTGCTTTTGATTAGCAATGTTAACCAAATAGAAATATAATTCTGTTAGTTCTTCTGTAGATCTACTTAAGCTTTGACATACGCGACTGTTCCAAAATTACATGAGAAAATCACCCATCACCACCAAGTAAAGACTTGAGCATCTGAGAGCCCCAGAACCTCCCACTCCTACTACAGGCTGACCCACAACTTCCTCCTCATGGCGATGGACTCTGTGTGAAAGCAGCCTGGGCTCACAGCATGTTTATGCACCAGAAAGTAGATTTCGAAAGATCCAGTGCTAGTCATCACTGTCACTGCCAGACTCACTCAACTGCAAGTCATTTCCTACAAAAAGAAAACAGAATCAAGTCAAAAGTACAGAAATTAAAAATGACTTCCCCAGCTACTCTGCCTATGGGGTAGTATGCTGCTAACTTACTTCTCCATTTCCAGCTGCTCTGCCTATGGCATAGTCCACTGTACTTTTCATCTGTAATAAACTTGTACTTTTCCTTCACTTTAAAAAAGGGCTTCCTCTTAATTCTTTAGTTGACTGCTCAGCTGTCACATTATGGTAGAACCTTGTTAATTCAACTTAATTAGGGAGAAAAATCAATTTGGCTGACTGAAAAAAACGTGTAGTCAACATTTTTAAGAAACTGCTATTTTTGGTATCTGTAAAGCATAGCAATACTGCTTATTAGGATAGAGTGAGGGAGGGGTAGGCTAGATAAGGTTTTAAATGTGTTAATAAACAGGAAGAAAATACTTATAAATAAAGCACCATTTGGTACAATTGTTCACTTTAAGTTGCTCTGTTAAAAGCTAAAAAAAGCCATGAGAGGCTTCCCATCACAGGAACTAATGCTGTACACACTGGTAACATGCTAAACCAATGCCCCCTTCAGTACACCTCTGTCCAGGACATTCCTATTATTTTAACCTCAAATCTGAACTAAAGTGCTAAATTCATTCTTGATATGCAGAGTTTAGAATTTAGGAGTGACTCAACATTTCAAGTTAATAGAAATATATAACCCCAGCTGATACAATTTAGATTAAAAAATGAAAAATTACTGTCTTCTCAAAGTGTGCTGCGAGGACACTGGGGGCCCTGGAGCCATCCCAGGGCCATCTGGCCCTGAGGCCTTCCTTTTCTGACCCCAACCTGCCTGAAGTCAGATCTTCAGCCTTCAACTTAAACTGAAGGGCACACCTGGCAATGTGTTGAGACATTTTTGGTTGGCACTGTGGCGGGGGGATTTGATACTATCTAGTGGGTGGAGGTCAAGGATGCTCTTATGCATCCTACAATGCACAAGATGGCCTCAACAAAGATTTAACTGGTACAAAATGTCCACAAGTGCTGAGGCTGAAATTCTTTGCTGGGTCCACAGTGTAGGGGGAGCTAGGTTATCTTCCCCACCCTTGCTGCCAGACCACCAGCTTCCTCAGAGGAAAGCAGTCATTAGCTCTCTCCTCTGCGTCTCTAAAAGACACTTTTGTTCATGTTCTCCTTTACTATCAGCCGCATTAAAAGCCACCCAGACATTACAATATCTCTTCTTGTTCTCTTGCCCAAGGCTAGTTAGTGTCCAAATCGAGACAGTGCATTCATTTGGTATAGAAGACCTGGAGGCATTGTGGCAGCAGGTAGCTCTTTTTAGCCTGGCATATACAAAAATAAGAAGCACACATATTCATCTTTTAGCATTTTTCAGAATTCACAAAACCCAGTTTGTGCCAGTAGCAAATGGAAAAGAGAAAAGAACATATTATTTAGTTCTGTGCCTCCCTTTTTTATTGTTTGGTAATACAACACAATCCTTTCTGCTCCAAGTTCTCTTTGCTAAGATCCTTAGGCCTTCAATGCCTTTCTTCAAGTTGACAGCTCTGGCACAAGAACAGACGCTGCACCAGGGCCTTGTGTTGGCCACCAATGGACAGCACACTTACTGAGTGTGTTCATGAGCTGGGCGCTTCCTTGTGGCCGGCTGGTTCCATTGGCAATGGCAGGCCTGCTGTTGTAGGGCTGCTGGTGGGAAGGCTGTGGAGGAGAGGCTGGGCCATTGTCCTCGCCTCCACTGCTGGAGCTGTCATCGTCACTTCCTGAGGAGCTCTCTGAGTCTGAGGAGCTGCTTCCACTGCTGCTGCTCATCTGCTCGATGATGTCCACTTCAGCCCTCAGCTCTGCAAAACATGACAAGCCGTGGTCAGCACAGCAAGTGCTCTCATGGCAGAGCACTGAAGCTTGTGTAAGTAGCTGGCTGGCAAAACCCACAGCAATAAGGAATGATTTATGACACATTCCTGCTTCCCAATTCCTTAAAAAACATACAAACAGAATGACCAAAAACAACCAATGAAAACAACTACCCTTTTCCAGAGAGACAACGGAAACATTAAATCCACTCAAAACAAACAAATAACAGACTGTTTCAGAATAATGACTGTTCTGTGTAAGAAACAAAGTAAGTACACCAATGATCTGCTTAAAAAAAAAAATATGGGATAGAATCCCAAATAAGAGAAGAGAAATATCCTGCTAAAGGGATAGAAAAATATAACTAGAAATTGGAAGGTCTCAGTGCTTGCTTTGGATCTACTTCTAACCAGCAGTGAGACCCAGGTGCAAGTCAATGGATTTTTCAAGCCACTCTGGAAAAATGAAGGCCAGACTGCCTCCAAGGTCCTTTCCAAGCTTGCAAGAACCACCACAGTGAGGGAGGAAAAATGGTGGAAGACCACTCCTCTTCTTAACTTAGGTATTTGACCAATGGCCACGTCTGCCAGGTTCCACAGTTTCTACTTATGTAAAGTAGGGAAGGAAAAAAAAATGCCTTAGGCTAGCCATTTCAATCTCACTGAATATTTAAGAATACATCAAGAAAGGTGACAAATTTTCCTCTTCAAACAGCATGTTGCCTTGAGTGGCTATGGTTCCTTTAAGTATAACTGTAAATAACTAAGCACTCATGGTCTAACTTCCACAATAGAATCCATGAGAGAAAACAAAACAAAACAAAAACAAAAGATGTAGCAACAGTGCAGAGACTGTATTTGTCAAAGGCAGCATTTCTATAGAGTGGAAAAGCAAAATTCCCAAAAACAATTCTTTATCTTTTCCTGTCTTCTACTATAAATCTCATTCTGTTTCATAAAACTTATAAATGGTAAACTGTCTTAGGTTTGCAGGGAACAAAATCAAGTCAGACCTCTAAAGTCTTTCTAGGCCTGAGTTCATGTCCACTGGTCTCATCGCCTCATCCATACTTAGGCACTTTGTGTTATCACAAAGCATTTGGTTTTAACACTAAAATTTATTATTTTTATTTATTTATTTTTTGAGATAGCGTCTCCCTTTGTGGTCCAAGGCTGGTCTCAAACTTACTATCCTCCTGCCTCTGCCTCTCTAGTACTGGGATTATAGGTGTGTGCCTCTACTCCTGGCTTGGTCATGGTACTTTAAGTGTCCCTCTAGATACTATGTCAGCACAGAGCTCAGAAACATCACCACATTTGGTTTTCAGCCCCCAAACACCTAGAATCCTTCCTTTCACCAAAGCCTAAGGTGTGTACTATGGAACACTAGCGGCCCACTGTGTTTATTTAAAACCCGAGCCTCTGAGAAGAATGCTGCCAAGACAGCCACAACTCAAGTCACTACTGCTGGACTCATTCTTGTCAAATGAGATGTGTGGCAGAGGCCCCCTACTGGAACAGTGAGCTTTGAAAAAATCTGTTTAATGGCAGTGAATGTCCATGTTGCCATGTCAACCTAGCAGCTTTGTGAGCACAAGAACACTGACACCCTACTCCACATCGCCAACATAGCTCCACAATATGCTTTCTACTTTTTTGGGGGGGTAGTGGGTAGTAGAGGGGTATTGAACTACGTTGAGCTCAGGACCTCACTCTTGCTGGGCAGGTGCTCTACCACTTGAGCCATGGCCCAGTCCTGTTTTCTACCTCTTTTGATGTCATCCAGCTGAGGTTCAGGTGAGGGGTTATCCTTTACGGGAGAAGTTTTGGGTCCAACTGGAGGCTTTGTTGGAGCTCTGAATGGCATGGGTGGTGGTGGTGGTGGTGGTGGCTGCGATGGCTGTGAGGGACGGGTGGGCTGCTGTTCCATTCGGGCCTGGATTTTACTGCTCCCCTCAGCTCTGAAATGAGACAGACATTCAATTAGACAGGCTAAAACAAATATGACCAGGTGACCAAGCATCTGGAAGTCTCTGCAGAAGCCATGCTCTTTCCAGACCCCTGCAAAATATTGGTATTTGTCATTTTATCATGAGAACTCACTCAACACCTATGATTTGACTGCACTCCAGTCTCACCCTGTGCAGCCCAGATGTGGAGATGGTAAAATATGCAGGATACAACATGATTATAAGAACCATTTCACTAGAAAATGACTACCTGACGTCTATGTGATATGAAGTTACAATCATGAACGCATGAGTTGCAGAACAAACTAGCTCTTGAAATCCTGGCCAGCTGACATGATCTACTTATGCATGCACGTTTTATCACAAAGTTCTACCTCAAACAGAAAATTCTATCCATTACCAATTTCTTCTGAAAATGGACTAGGCCAGTGCATCTGAAACTTCAGCACATGAACAAATCACCTGAAGATCTCTCCAGATTCTGACCTGATAGGTGCTGAGCTTCTGCGTGTCTAACAACTGCCTGGGGGACATGTTGCTAGTTCCCAGACCATGCTGAGTAAAATGGGGACAAGTCACCACCATCGGTTATTGGGGGAGTATCGGGAGCACCTGGCTCACTGTAGGCCATGATACAAGCAAACAGTGGCAGGACAGGAGCAAGGGCTCTATGGCACACTGCCTGGGGCAGGCCTCGGCTCTCTAGCACTCATACTTAGTAAATCACAACCTCCACATTTCTTTCTGTTGTTCCCCTCCCCACCAAGGATAATAGCACCTTTCTAAAAATTCTGGTGAAGATTAGATAATGCACATAAAGCATATAGCATAGTGCCTGGCACACAACCTCTTAATAAATGGTAACTTTATTTTTTGTGGAATGAGTCAATGAAGAAAAATGGCTTCAGAAAGCACAAGCAGAAAAACATTGGGCTGTAACACTCTGTTAAAATTTAATCACCATATGATAAGAATTATTGTATTACACTGTAACGAATAGAATCACTTGGCTAATTCTATTTAAAAATGAACTGAATTTCAAATAAACTAACTGGCTTCATATTAGAATGCCTGCTGAATGAAATAGTAAAGGAAGTTCACTATTCAAAATATCAGGTAATGAATGCCTGTAATCCCAGCACTCAGGAAGATGAGATAGGATGATCATGAATTAGAGATCACTACACAGCAAGACCCAGTCTCAAAAATAAATAAAGCAAAGGTTTATTTTAGGATTACAGTTACCTCAGGTGTACCCTATTTTTTAAAAAGTGGTGTTTATACCTTAATAAAGTTGTTCAATTATTCTTTTGTAATTATGTTTATAAATATAAATCTTATCACTTATGTGATTATGTCAATAATCATGACAGTGACAAAAATGGACTTAATTATAAAGCACCTTGCTTTTCCCCAATGACTTCTAGGTTTTAGAACTTAATGATTTCCTCTTGTTGTATTTCAGAAAGACACATCCTATTGATTTGTCTGGGAAGACATAGAAGCAAGGCAGCACAGCTGAGGGAAGTGTGGCCTGGGAACCAGAAGCCAGAAACTAAGACTGGCACTCATGCATGAAGAACTTGATCAGGAGCCTAAGCACTTTTCTCTTTGGTCTCACACTCCTTCACTGAGTGCTAGCATACAGCTCTGACCTTGCCCAAATGATTACTATGCATGCCATGGGAACTGAGAAAACATTATAAAGATCTTAGAAAAGACCAAAGTTGCCATTTCTTATCACAGAAATGCTTGCAAAAGAAAAATACTCATCATAAGGAAGGATACCTGTCTTGAAAGAAGCATCTAGTAAAACCCATCCTTTATTTAAAGGGATGCTCTGGCCAGGCATGATGGTGCATGCCTGGAGGTGGAGACAGAAAGGATTGTGGCTTGAGGCCAGCCCAGGCAAAAGTTAGGAGATCCCATCTCAACCAACAAGTCAGGCATGCCTGTAATCTCAGTTTCTGGGAAGCATAGGTAGTAAAAGACCAGCACCATACAAAAACACAAGACCCAATCTGAAAAATAAAAAGCAATCTGGGGGTGTAGCTCAAGAGGTAGAGAATTTATCTGGCAAGTGTGAGACCCTGAGTTCAAACAGTAGTTCCCCCCACCCCAAAGGGATACTGAAGTAGAACATCTATGTGATAATGACCTCAATTCAGTAAACCAACCAGACTTTATCTGGGCCAGCTGATGTTAAAACAGTATCAGCATGCCTGATACTCTAAACAGAAATCTCCAGAAGTGTTGGCAGAGCCCCTAGTCCTACTTTTTCACCATAAACACCCTGCTATCAAACCAACCTGGTGTGTCCCCGTTGGAGTACCTATGGTCTACCTATCAGAGGGTGCTTTTGCTTTCTGCTTGCTTGCTCACTCAATAAATCACTCAAGCTTTCTTACCTTTGTGACCTGTCCAAAGTCAGACTCCTGTCCCTGAGTGGAAGGTCCCTAACTTGAAGAGAAACTCCTGAGACCCTTAACTAACAACTGGTAGCAGGTATTGTTAACATTTTTGATATAACTCTATGAGCAGGCCGATGTTCATATCCTTAAAAAACCAGAAGAGGTAACACAGTACTCACACTTGGGCTGGGGATGCAGCTTGGTGACAAAGCACTTTCCTGGCATGCATGAGGCCCTAATGTCGATCCTCAGCACAATGGAAAGAAAGAGCAAATAATTTTGCACCACATACCTCGTTTTCTTGACCTGAATGCTGCTACTGAGCTTCTCCAGCACATATTCACCAGTGTCATGATTAATAATAAGCACACAGTCCTTCTGATAAGGCCGTTTGTTCCCCTTGAACACAGTCATTGGCGGTGTGGATCCCTATTTGCCACAGAAGTACAAGATGAGCAAACCAAACACACCATTACAAGTATCCAAACTGACTTTACAAATGACTCTACTTCACCCAGTTTTTCATCAGAGTCACTGAGAAAGAACTGATTTCTATTTTAACTCCTTCTGGTTTCCCAGGCAAAAATAAAAAAGTAATAACGGACCAAGAATTGATGGCTGCACAGTTGGTTCTAGGTAATCAAGAAAAAGCAGTATAAAGGGCCAAGTGATCCACACCTGTAATTTCAGCAACTCACAAGATGGAATTTGGGAGGATTACAATTTAAGGCCAGTGCAGGCAAAAAGTTAGCAAGACCCCATTCTCAATCAATAAGCCTGGCATGGTGGCTCATGCCTGAAATCCCAGCTCACATGTGTGGTCTAAGGCTGACCCGGGAAAAAGCATGAGCCCCTGTCTGAAAAATAACCAAAGCAAAAACAGGGATTAGCTCAATTGTTAGATCCCAGTACCACCAAAAAAAAAGTAGTATAAAAATTCTAAATTACTGCACAAGTATCTAAGGGCTGGTGAAATACTACAGATTAATAAATTAATCATTACTTGCATTGCACTAAGTAGAGCTATCACTATGAACAATAAACAGTGTACCATTTCTGTGTTTCTTTGTAATCGCAGAGCCTAGGGCTTCCCCTCCTGTGAATGAATACCCAACAGAGCATTTTCCAAGGGCAGGTGGCTATCCTGCTTAGCTCAGAGTAAGTATACCACGCTACTCATCTGCCTCAGCTCTTCCACAGCTCCCCTGTTGTTCTCAGGCCAAAGGATAACCCTTCTTTTTTTGGGGGAGGGGGGAAACAGGGCTTTGTGCTTGCCAGGCAGGTGCTCTACCACTTGTGCCATGTCTTGCATGGCACACCCCTGGGCTCTGTGGGCCACACAGCAGAAGCTTCTCAGATCCTCAAGCTATTTCCTGCCTCAGGACTTTAACAAGACTCCTGCCTTGCCACTTGACCATCCTAAATTCCTCAACCTTCAAGTAAGCTCAAAGGTGACTGAAGGAAGCCTTACCTGATTTTCTCGAATAAGTGCTCCATTTTCTTATACATATTTAAACTTATTACTTAGACCACATGCACAAGGGCAAGAAACATGCTTGTTTAGTTCAAGGTTGTAATCTTGGTGCCTTCTAATGGGCCCATTCAGTAGTCATTCAACTTGTATTGTCAAATTAGGATTTAATGCCTTGTGTAGACTCAAAAGCTGCTTAGTTCTTTGATTCTTTATTCATACACTAAAAATTTTAAGAGTTGGAAGGGGACCTTAGGGACCATTTATCTAATCCCTTCATTTTTACATTTGGGAAACTAAGGTCCAAAGGGAGATGATGCAACCTGCTACAAGCAATAAGCAATGAATAAGCTGTTGGATGAGCAAATAATTTTTCCTCAGCACAAAGGTTTCCAGGTCTCCCTGTCCAGAGACTTTTCATTCTATCAGCAGCTATCAAAACCTTTCTATGCTTCAGAACACAGCATGACATACAATGACATTTGTTCACAGAGAGCATCTTATGTGTTCCTTTGGGCTATATGATCAGAGTGTTGCCCTGAGTATGGCTTCACAAAAGTCTTTCCCACACTTTTGACTGAGTTCTTCATCCCTCAATTAGCCAGGACTATCTGGTTCCCACCTGGGATTATCTGCTCACACCCGACCCCTACCACATGTAAAGACATCAGTCCTGCTCCTGCCCATTCCATGCTTAGGAGCTGCTATGGCTATTATCAGCAGGGCACCTAGGGCCTTTGTCTTCAAGCTGGCTTGGGGCAAAAGCTATGCATGTCTAACAGACAGGCCAGTTGTCCAGACAGAACCTTGCCTACTTCACAGCATATGGGGGGTGGTTGGGGGGGGGGGAGTTTGGGGAAAACACCAAAAAAAAAAACCATTTAAAATAAAGTGCTGGAGTAACATGAATTCCACTCTACCCCATCCCTCAAAACTGCTTTTTTACTTATGATGGCACTTTAGAAATCTAAAAAATGTTCAACAATAGGGAATCCAAATTGCAATAGCATAAAATATAAGGATTCCCTGTGATCCTATATTAAAACCAACAGCAATGGAATAAACTTACAGGAATATGTGGCAGAGTAATTGTGACTTCATCTCCTTTGCCAACCTGAAGCTCTCCTTCACAGGATGTGTCTATAGATGCTGGCTTAAAATCATCTAAAGGGAAAGAAAGAGCGTGTTTTCCAGGTGACTTAGAATAAAGACTTCCTGGACATTTTCATTTAGGAATAAAAATACTTATCACTCATTATTTAGAATTCTTAAAATAATGATTTCACTATGGAAAACCTCACATCTCACATATGCAAAGGAGAGAGAATAGTACAGTGAGCCCCAAGTTCCATATGGCCACCTCAGGGACACCTCCACATACTTTTTCTTCAACCCTCATTGGACTGTTTTCACAAGGGGAGATGAGCAGATATTCCTTTCTCCCAAGGAACAAATGGAAATGCTTCATTATCCATAATAAAGTGTTTTATTAGTTATGAGGACAAAAGCAACAGAGCATATGAAAACGATGCTTGATTATAAAACCCTATATGAAATATGAACAGCCACAGAATCAGAAAAGTCAACTTCATTTCGCACGGACAATATCAAAATTAGAACTTGCTGCACTCAAGTTCCATAGCTTAGAAAAAGATACTTGTGCATATGTTCAGAGCAGACAATTGATTTGTAGCTCCAAAGGTTATCTTGCTTATGGCTTATGAATTACATTTCTGGAACAACATGAAGAGCTGTCTTACTTCACATTAACACACGCTTGCCTCAAAATGTAGGCCACGTGCATAAGTGAACAGTTTCATTTAAATTCCACACAACCCTTCGGTGGAGGAAAACAACTTAGTAAACTTGGGAAATGATGATCTCATCACATTCCCCATGTCTTCTCTTTGAAAGAGCTGGATCTGCTGTCAGCAGGGAACACAGTAATGACATGGCAAGTGGCCACACAAAGATGGAACTTCATTATCTAACACACCCTCTTCCTATGTGTTGAGTCACATCTATTAGCTCCTCTAACAAAAACAAGCCTTAACTGGTGTGAAGGCTACAGGAAACCAGAAGCCTGTGAATCATAGAGGGATGCTCAGCCAAGTCTTCACCCAGGACACAGAGGAAGCTCCCCTCCACCCCGAGTCTGTAATCATGTAAAAAGAGGTCCAGCATAATGATTATTTTCACATTCCTCATGTCTGCTCTCTTTCCAAACATAGACCAAGCTTTAACCTCCGCCAGGCTCACAAACTAATTCTGTTCTTCACCCACAAGGGATTTGGTCCAGAAGTCAGAGTGGAGAGATGACCTCAAAACACATCAGATCTAAGTGAGGCACAGGAAGGGAGAGGAGAAGTGCTCTGGTGGGTCACAGAAAAAATACACATTCCCTTGGCTGTGGAGGGGACCAAACATGATGTCTGGGTGGCCTTGATTTTGGCCATCTTGGAAATGAGAGGGACAGAAAGCTGAGGACAGCAAGGAAAAAAAAATAGGAAGGAGTAGGAAGGAGTTTAAATGTGAAGAACCTTATGTGATCATCAGAAAGTGGGGAGGGTAAGAATGCAAGGGGAAAGAACTGGACCCAACTAAAGAGGGGAGTTTGGCTCGATGAGGGCTGGGAATGGGATATGAAATAAGAAAGGGGTCAGCGACATTCTTAATTAGCGTTTGGGACTATAGAGGTCTGTAAGGTAAAAGAATAGCTGGGAGTGATCAAAGGTTTGGTTTGCGAGAAGTGACCTGAAAATAAAAGAACAGACCGAGGTCTCCGGAGATCAGGGGGGCAAAACGATGTTGGCGGGGGTTCCCCGGACTTTGGAGGGCGAGGGGGTGGGGAAAGGAGGGAGGCGAGGCAGGCATGTGGAAGAGAACCGCGCGGGGCGCCGACTTACAACGAATGGTGTGGAAGGAGGCCCGCGGTCGCTTCTCAAAGCTCTCCCCGAGCCGCAGGCAATGCTCCTCGCGGTCCAGCAGCGGGTTCGCGGTCCCGTTCATGGCCCCGCACGGGCCTCGCGTCCAAATCGGCGCTCTCCTGGCGCGGCCGCAGCCCGAGCTCCCAGCGCCGGCGTCCGGGACCACAGTGCTTCCGGGACACCGCTCCGGAGCACAGGGAGAGCACAACCGGCTCCCACCCGGGCCCGGAAACCAATCTTCTCCGAGTCGGGGTGGGGGGAAAATCTGAGGAAGCAAGGCCGCTGGACTTCCGGTATTGGGGAGGGACTTCCGGGTTCCCAGCGGAAACAGCGAGGGCGGTGCGATAACAAGAGAAATCCGCCGGCGAAAATCCCAATTGCAAGTCCCGGTGTTTGTTCTGACTCGTAGGTTCTCCACCGCGGCTCCCAAATTCTACTTCTAAGGCCGGGACTTTGCTGAGGGGTGCGTGCGCCCTGCCCTAACCCTGCGGTTGGGCCTGGGAACGGATGACGGTGAGCCCCGAGCCTGGCGGACAGCTAGTGTGGGCGGCCCGCGCGGCAGGCCTTAGGAACCCCAGTGTCCCGAGAGAGAGAACGAGGTGGCTTCTTGGGACCTTAGCCACGTGCCACTGGGTCCCTTTCCCTACTTCGCTCCGTGATGGCAGTGTGGGGGGCCTCAGTCCGTGGAATGCGACTCTTCCTTCGGGCCCGTGCGAAGCCTCTTGTGAGTGGGGTCAGAAAGTGAGGTCACTCTCCCAGGCTCAGTTCCATCTATTCCTGAAGAAAACGGAGCTCCCACCTCCGAGGAACGAAGACCCCACTTGTGTCTATCTGACTCTCAGTTCCTGCAGCTGTTGCGGTTATTTTTAAGTCACCCTGTGCACGGGTACCGAGGGTTGATGAGTATTTTCGTATCAGGGTTTTTCAGTCAGTTCGTGGGAGTGTTCTTTTTTCTAAAACGCATTTCTTGTACTCGTTGTCCCATTCTGGTTTGAACTTGAGTTCGGTGCAGGAGACGGTCCTGGCCCCTGAGTGTAAGCTGGTTGCGGGTGGGGACTGTGTCTTGGTCTTTGTGACCTCTGCTCCCATAGCAGGCAGAGTTTTGTGTAGAGTCAGCATCTCCTAAATGTTTGGTGAACTGAACCCAGCGTCTCCAAGAACTGTTCTAGAACTGTTAACCCAGCGTCTCGAACTATTCTAGAGCCACAAACTTCACGTTCTAAAGAAGAGTTCTAGAACCACTAACCAAAATCTCATTGTTTCCTATAAAGCACTTATGCTGCGGAGGCATAAAAACAGCCTGAAGAAACGCATCAGAGAAAACCCTGTGTCTGCAGTGTCAGCGTGGATTCCCGAAATTATTCAAGGATGGGGGACCTTCAGTGTTGAATGTGTTACCATCAACTAATGACATGGCTTCTTTGCAAAGGAAAAGACTGCAGACAAGAGTTCTTAGCTCTGAAGAAAAGGAGAAGCTGAAAAAAGACCAAGTTTTGGTGTCTGACTTTAAACAGCAAAAATTGGAAAAAGAGGCTCAGAAGAATTGGGACCTTTTTTATAAAAGAAATAGTACCAACTTTTTCAAAGATAGACACTGGACCACTAGGGAGTTTGAGGAGCTGCGGTCATGTAGGGAGGTAAGTTGGTATTTCTCCCTATCCTGAGCTGTTCTTTGAGATATGTAGATGAAACATTCCTATGGGGAGTGTGAAATAGAAAGTTTATGAAGCCTGTCAAAATGTTTTGTACAGGAGAGAAACAGAGTTTGGTTTCAAGTAATTGGGTCTTTAGCAATTTCTGGTTTTATATATAGGAGAGAGACCGTCAGTGGTTTTCTGTTTATGTAATGCTTATTTGAAATAAGTTGTAAACATTACTCAAACTGAGTGAGCAGTGACATTCAATCTGAGTGACACATTCAGGATAATAAAGTAGTTAATGTTAATGAACACTGTTTACCTGGCCCCCTTTTTTGTGGGGGAGGTACTGGAATTGGAACTCTGGGCCTTTGCTAGGTGCTTTACCACTTGAGCCATCCCCAGCCCTTTTGTGCTTTACTTATATTTTGGATAGGGATAGGTCTCAAGTTTATACCCCAGGCAGCCTCAGAGTGTGATCCTGCTTCCTACGCCTCCCACCTGGTTTGTGCGACCACACCCAGCTTGAGATGGGGGAACTCGCTAACTTTTGGCCTGTGCTGGCTTTGAACCTTGATTCTCCTGATTTCCACCTCTGGAGTAGCAGAGATTATGAGACATTGTTCCCTGCCATGGTCCTTATACATTCTCTTATTTCAGCTTTGTAATAAACTTTATGAGTTATATTAGTTTTATCTCTGTTTTAGGTGACAGAGAGGCACAGAACTGTTTAAGTGACTTGCCCAGAGATAAAATATAGGGACTGAGGAGGAGTTGGGATTTGAATACCAAGAAATTAGCCCCAGAGCCTGTTCAGTTAGCCATTCAGTTTGGTGTGGGTTTTCCCTCCAACCAGACACCCAGTTTTGGATGATGATAAATGAGGTACCACTGTTAGCTTTTGCTTAATAGTTCTCATTTATTTTCTGCTCCATTGGGGTCAGACATTTTGACTCTCACATTCTGGTCCTTTCGATTTGTTTCTTCATTATGCAAATACAGTGTACTGTGACTTTTGAGTTCTCTTTCTCCAGTATGAAGGTCAAAAGTTGACTATGCTTGAAGCTGGCTGCGGGGTTGGGAACTGTTTATTCCCACTTTTGGAAGAAGATTTGAACATCTTTGCCTATGCCTGTGACTTTTCTCCAAGAGCAGTTGAGTATGTTAAGGTTGGTGCACCATCTTATACTCTACATTTTCTTAGATTTGCTTGACCTGTGCACTATACCCATTTGCCTAATTCCATTTTTCTCCGTGGAGCTAACTGGCTATGTCACTGTGAAGGTAATTTCCCTTTTACATACATATTCAGTATGTACAGAAACCACTTGATTCAAAAAAATAGGGAAAAAAATACCTTAACACCTGCATACTTACTTAATAACTTTTGCTTTATAGACTTTTTCTTTGTTGAACTATTTTAAATTACAAACATTGAGACTTACTTCTAAGTATGTCTGTATACGTCTCCCCCCAAGTAAGCCTTTTTTCTACACAACCACAATTAGCTCACAAAAATAACTGTAATCTCCTAACGTTGATGATAACCATTCCATATTTAAATTTCTCAGAATAGTTCCATATGTCTTTTATAGCCATTTTTCAGTCCAACCAAGGACTGCTTCTTACATTTCCATTACATCATTTAAATCTTAGCTTAAAATACCCTACCCCTTATCCTTTTTCTCCATTGACACTGAGTTTTTGGAGAGCTCAAGCCAATTTTCTGTAATAAGGTTCCACATTCCATCTGTTTCTTTGCATTGTTGCTTAATATGTTCCTCAAGCCCCTGCATTTCCTGTAAACTAAAGTTTAGACTTAAATCAGATGAAATATTTAAAAATATTTTGATAGGTGATACTGTATCTTGAATTTTACATGCTGTCAGGAGGAAATAATGTCTTGTGATCCAACTGTAAGTGGTAATAGTTTTAATCGCTAGCTTAAGGTAGTAACTGCCTAATTCCCCCATTGTAAAAATATTTGCCTTTGCCATTGACAATATGTGGGAGACATTTCAGCATGATGCAAATATGTAGTTATTCATCAATATCTTACAGTTTTAGCACACATTAGAACGTTTTAAAAATAACAATAGTCAGCTGGGCTGGCAGTGGTGGCTCACACCTGTAAGCCTAGCTACTCAGGAGGCAGAGATCAGGAAGATCGAGGTTTGAAGCCAATCTGGGCAAATAGTTCAAGAGACTATCTTGAAAAAAACCCTTCACAAAAAAAAAAAAAAAAAAAAAAAAGGACTGGTGGAGTGGCTTAATGTGTAGGCCCTGAGTTCAGACTCCAATACCACAAATAAATGAATAAAATAAAAAAATAGTAGTCATTGGGGCTGGAGGTGTGGCTCAAGTTGTAGAGCACCTGCTTTGCGAGTACAAGGCCCTGAGTTCAAACTCCAGTCCCACCAAAAAAAGTAGTGGTATCACATCTAGTATAAGTTAATTTCTTCATACTACATTATATTTACAGAGTTCATGTCAGTGCATGGAGATTATCTCATTATATTTACCTATTATAATCCCTAGAATGGATATGTTACACTTTAACCGTTATCCTGTTGCCATTTTTTTTTTGCTCCCACAAATAGGGTTAATCTAGCCAGCATCATACATGTGCTTCACAAAATGTGTGTATACATTTCTTAAGATGAATAATAGAAGAAATAGAATTCCTTGGAAGGAGAGTATGCATGTTGAAATTTTAATAGGTAATGCCAAGTTAAATTCCAAAAAGATCTTACCAATTTATAATTTCACCAATAATATAAAGGTACCTTTTTCCTCTATTCCCTCAACATTTGATACCAGTATTTATTTTTGCCTATCTTTGAGCAAAAAAAGTCTCCATATTTTACTTTGTTTTCTCATTATCAGAGATATTGAAGACTTCTGATATGAAAATACACATTACTTTTTCTTCTGCTATGAGTTCCTTTATTTTACATGTTTCCTGAGAACTTAATATTTGCCAGTTAATGTTCTAAGCACTGGGAGTAAGCACTAGGCAGAAGAGACAAAAATCCCCACCCATGTGGCATTATATTACAGTAAGAATAATCTGTTCATAACGTTTGCCCATTTTCTATTGGTTTGTCGTTTTCTTATTTTTAGAATATATTCTAGATATTGTGGTATATAGTCGCAAACATTTCTTCCAATTTATTCAGCATTGTTTATGGCAGCACTTTCCTCACAGAATGTCAATTTTTTTTTTAAAGAGAGATGGGGTCTTGTTATGTAGGTTCTGGAGTTCGAACTCAGGGCTTCACACTTGCAAGGCAGGTGCTCTGCCTTTTGACTCTTCCAGCCCTACATGTATCTTTTGCTATCATTTGCAATTGCCCACACCTTAAATGTTGTCTGGGGGGTGTTTCCCCTTTTTCTCTTTGCATCTTCAGTTGTATATGTTCCACTGTCCTGTTACAAGTTTGCTTATCCTTTCCTACTGAAGAACTCATCAGAAGCATTATCATTTTAATATCGTGTTTCTTGGCATTTACATTTGAGTCTTTTCACCTGTAAAATTACCTACCTGATCTTGCATGTTGTCTTTCTTTTCCATTAGAGCCTTTAACATTTCAATCATAGTAATTTTAAGTGCCCCAACTTTTAGTTCCATCACTTGAGTCTGGCTCTGATGATTGCTTTCTGTCTCAGACTGTGTTTCTTCTTGCCTTTTGGTATGCCTTGTACTTTTGTTGAAGCTGGACATATTAGGTCAGTGGGTAGTGAGGTAATAAGGATTTGTAATAATCTAGTCAGGAGTTGGGCTATATTTGCAGTTATTTGTGAGGTTTGTTGTTGCTATGGGCACGAAAGACTTAAAATTCCTCTGGTGACTCCTCTTGGTTTTGACCTTCCCTTTATGATCTTCTCAAATATAGTCTGTCGTTTTGTGTTTTCCTAATTGTAATTAATGGTTATTATTATTGGAGACTTGGTTGTGGGTGTGGGAGATAGTTTTATTCTGTTATGTTCTGCTCTATTTTTGTGCTGTGCAGGTGTGCCTATGTCTCAAGAGCAGCCTTTACAAGTGTTCCTACTTTTCTAAGAAGAGAGCTTTTCTTGCCCATCTCTCTTCTAGCTGCCAATGTTTCTACCAATGTCCTATAGTATTGAAGCCATTCTCCCTGTAGATTGCCTGTGTTTGGACAAAATAGCTCTGTTCCCATCTGCAGAGGTATTCCACCAGTGTCCTTGAGGGTATGGCCTCAGGTGACCTTCCCCTGCAGATACAGCTATTTGTTCCTTAAAGGATAGAAAAACGAGCCTTAGAAGGAGCACCATCATCTCCTGGTGAAAACACCTTCAGAGGGCTGGGGGCAGCCTTGTGATTTCACACTCTAATGCTCACTCTTGGTCTCCAGCAGTTTCCTACTTTTATCTTTCCAGTTTGGAGGCTTCTGCTTCGGGTAAGCAAGTATTTGAGTTTGTGTCTCCCTGAAGACACAGATTTTGGAATGATGAGTTCTGTGATTCCTGTTCTTTTATGGGTCCTCAGAAAAGTTTGTGTGTGTGTATGTATGTTTGTTTTTGTGATACTAGGCTTTGAATTCAGGGTTTTGTGCTTGCTGGGCCAGTGCTCTACCATTTGAGCCAGTCCTCCAAGCCCTTTTTCCTTTAGGTTATTTTTCAGGTAGGGTCTCACATTTTTCTTGCCAATCTGGGACCATAGTCCTCCTACCTATGCCTCCTAGATAGCTGGGGTCGCAGGTGTATACCACCACTCCCAGCTTGTTTGTTGAGATAGGATCTTGCTAACTTCTTTTTTTTATTATTCATTTATTCACATGTGCATACCTTGTTTGGGTCGTCCGTCCCGTCCCCCACCCCTCGCTTCTGGGCAGAACTTGTTCTGTACTTTTCTCCAGTTCTGTTGAAGAGTAGAAATAAGCAATAATAAGAAAGACATAGCATTTTTGCCAGTTGAGATAAGGACAGCTATACAGAGAGATTCCTAGCATTGCTTCCATGTACAAATGTGTTACAACCCAGGTTGATTCATCTCTAACTGATCCTTACACTGGCTCCTGTTCCCCTTCTCTTGTTGACCTCTGTCACTTTAAGGTTTCTGTATTAATTCCTCTGGAGTGGGGACATCAAATGCTTTCATGTTTTGGGTTTTCTGTCTAACCCCCATACCTCTCATATATGTTCTCTCCTTGTCATGTGACCCAAGTCCTACAACATTGCTGTTTTTGCCCTAGATCTAAAGACCGCATATGATAGAGAACATAACGATTTTTGGTCTTCTGAGTCTGGCTAACCTCACTCAGAATGATGTTCTCCAGTTCCATCCATTCACTTGCAAATGATAAGATTTCATTCTTCTTCATGGCTGAGTAAAATTCCATTGTGTATAAATACCACATTTTCTTGACCCATTCGTCAATAGTGGGGCATCTTGGTTGTTTCCATAACTTGGCTATTGTGAATAGGATTTTGTTAACTTCTTGTGCATAGGCTAGCTTCAAACCATGACCTCCACCTCCACAGTAGCTGGGATTATAGGCATGAGCCACTCCACTTGGCCAAAAAAGTCATATTTTACTGGTTTCTAGCTATTTTCTTATTGAAAGGATAGGGTTTATGTCTTTCCACTTCTGTTCATCTCTGAGCTGAAACTGAAAGTCTTAATGTGTCTGGTAGCCAGTTGCCAGGTCATAACACATTCAATGAATTGTTGCCTTTATTATCTGCCTTTTATCTAATTGTCACCTTTGTCTCATCATATGAAATACTAAGCTTTCACATATGCACACAGGTCTGTTTTGGGACTCTATTCTGTCTTGGAGATCTATTTGTCATCATTCTCAAACCACGTTGTTTTATTACTACATTTTATAGTGTGTAGTGTATTTTCTTATTCTTAATTTTACTTTTTGGGACCAGGGTTCGAACTCAGAGCTTTACCACTTGAGCCACACATCCAGTCAGTTTTGCTCTTGTTATTTTGGAAATGAGGGTCTCACAAACTATTTGCCGGGGCTGGCTTTGAACCATGATCCTTCCGATCTCAGCCTCTCAAGTAGCTAGGGTTACAGGCTTAAGCCACCAGCACTTGACTCTTAGTCTTCATTTTAAAAGTTGATTTTTATTTCTAGATAAATTCGATTTACCTTGTCAAGTTTTGATAAATCTATAGGATTCAGTTGAGATGGCATTGCATCTATAGCTGGAATTATGAGCTGAATTGACATCTTGTCAATGTTGAATTTTCCATCCAATAAGTCTGTATATTTATTCAGGTTCTTATTTACATAAATGAATAGTTTAATATTTTCCTTCATAATATTCTTATACACATGTGTGGAAGTCCACTAACCAAAATGTACCAGAAGCACACAATTAATTTTAAAAAAAAAAGCTAAATTTGTTTATGTTACTGCATCAAGGGAGAATATACTCCAGAAGAACAATGGGAGCATCCCAATAAGTAGATTGGAAAGGGATTTGGGTTTATAGGGAATGAGTCAAAGGAGGATTAAGGGCACATTGGCCAGTTTTATATTATCATCCCCTTGGAAAAACATGCTTGTGAAATGCTCAGTTTTGAATATGTGATAGACTATATTATATTCTCCCCTCAGTTAAAAATGGTTGGCTAAAGTTGTATCTTGCTCCTTATAGCAATACTAACTTCTACATGCTTTGAAGGTGAATGATTCATTTCTCACTTTTACCCAGTAGCAAGTAGCATTCATTTCTGTGTAGCAGTACACAGTGGAAATAGGATGTCCTTTGAGTGTCGTAATTTTCTTTATATATAAGCATGGATGTTGCATTAACATTCTTTTTTGTTTTTTACTCTAGCAAAATCCTTTATATAATCCAGAGAGATGCAAGGTATTCCAGTGTGATCTCACTAAAGATGATCTTTTGGATCATGTGCCATCCGAGTCTGTGGACGTTGTCCTGTTGATATTTGTGCTCTCAGCTATTCACCCTGAGAAGATGAACCTTGTTTTACGAAACATTTACAAGGTGAGTGATTTGGAGCCTGATCTTGACCTCCTTGCTCACCTTCCCTCTGAGGTTCATATACTGACTAGAGCCAGAGTGTCCCTGTTCTCAGTAGGCAGGCTGTGTAGTCATTGTGTGGAAAGGGGTTCTTGTGGCATAAAATACCTACTGTAACTTTGGATTTGTGCAGTGCATGACCTGCTCCTAGAGCTCCGCCAGCTCTAAGAGGATGATTTTGCAGTTATCTGGGTCTGAGGAGTCATGGTGAGAGGAGGTGGTTCAGATCATTGTGTGGAGTCAGAGTGTCTACATCCAAAACTTGACTTCACTAAGCAAAGTTCCTTCACCTCTTTGAATCTCAGTTTCTTTACCTATAAAATGTAGAGATGATAGGATTTGAGGAAGATTAAATGAGAAATATACAGTACTTAGCACAATGCCTGGGCTATGGTAAGTGTCGCCATCATTACTGTTATCAGAATGGGGAGAATCCAAACTGCTATGGCCACCAGAAGTGCTGAAGCACTCGGAAGAAAAGCTTCCTGTAAGTCATGTGACTCAAAACAAGCCAACTCACCTTTTATCTCTGAACCTCAGTTTCCTTATCTATAAATTGGGAATGTCCCACAGAGGTGAAGGTGAGATCATGAATGAGGGTGCTGTGTAGAACCCTTCCAACTATAGAGGGAGTTCTCATATATATATGTAACCAATTACAGTGTTGGTTAAATTTTAAAAATCAACTGAACAAATTATTTTAAATGGTACATTCTTAACTTAAACGTTTTATTATAACTTAAAATACTTGAGTATTCATTTATTCATCACTCTTATTTTTTCTTTTTGATGATACTAGAGGGTTGAACTCTGAGCCAGGTGCTCTACCACTTGAGCCACATGCACATCTCTTAAGCCTTAGTTATTTTTTGGATAGGGTCTTGCAATTTTTGCCTTAGATCAGTCTTGGACTGTGATGCTCCTACCTATACCTCCTTAGGTATAAGTGCATGCTCCTTAGATTACAAGTACATGCCACCATCTCCAGCTTATTAGTTGAGATGGGGTCTTGCTAACTTTTTGCCTGGGCTGATCTCAATCCTCAATCCTTCCCATCTCCACCTCCAAGGTTGTTGGGATTTCAGGAAGGTTATACTTCATAGTGTTGACAAGGCATTAGGACTTTACCATGGGAGTAAGTGGTTTAGATAGAGTGGAAGACAAGATCTTTCAAAGAGAGGAACTCAAATCATTAAGAGGCCAGCACAGTTGGAAGGATAATACACATGTATATTGAAATTGTCCAGATTACAAATCACCCAGCTGTAATCCTAGCAGGTGAGGCTATGGCAGGAGGATTCAGAGTATGAGGCCAGCCTAGACTACATGGTGAGACCTTATCTCAAAAAAAAAAAAAAAAAAGGCAGTAAACCAGAAGATAAGTTTTTTAGGAAAATGGGAAATGAATCTGGAAATGGTAGTTGACAGTGGATGATAGAATCTGTCAAGAAAAAATTCAGAGCTAGTGAGTTTAGAAGGGAGAAAGGAGAATGCACAGAAAGTAGCAAGGAGGACATCAGCATCATCACTTTGCCCAGTGGGTGATGGGAGAAAATATAGCCCGACTTGAAAGGTTGCAGGGAAAACATTGTCCTCAGGGGAAATCAGGTTTCTGTGAGCAAAAACATGAAGGGGTACCAGAGGTTTCATGAATAAAGAGTTTCTGGTATTAGGAAGGAGTTGGAGATTGGGGTGGAATAGGATATGGAACTTCATGGGGATGTGAGCGTTCACTGTCAGTATAGTCATGCATCACTTAACAAAACACAATTCTGTCTTGTGCAAACATCATAGACGCAAATCTACATGGGCTAGCCTACAACACGCCTAGGATTTATGGTATATATTTATACCATAAAGAACAGCCTATTTTTCCTTGAGTCAAGCACAAGAGAAAAATGTGTATTTAAGAGACATACTAAACACGAGATATGGGACTGCTGCTGGTACAGTACAGCATACTGTTCTACAGCAAACATTTTTTTAAATAAATAGAAGGAGAATACTCTAAAATAATGCTTTAAAATACAGCATAATGCTATGGTTTGAATGTGTTCCCTCATGGGTTCATGTGTTGGAAGCTTGGTCCCTAGTGTGGCATCATGAGAGATGGTAGAACTTTTAAGAGATGGGGCTTAGGTCATTGGAGGATGCCCTGGGGACTAATGTAGTTCTTGTGGGACCCTTTGCTTAATTCTCACGAGAGGGTTGTTATAAAAGGAGTCAGCCTGGCCCCTCCTTTGACTCTGGTTTCCCATCTTGCAATGTGATGTGATCTTCCCCTCAGACATATGCTCCTGCCATAAAGCCTTCATCAGAGCTAGTGTCAGTACCATGTCCTTGAACGTCTAGAACTGTGGACTAAATAAGCCTTTTTAAAAATAAAGTTATCCAGCCTCAGGTATTTTGTTACAGTAATGAGAAACAGACTTTACATGCAGTAAATGCATAAACCAGTAACATAGTCATTTGTTACCACTATTAAATATTATGTATTATACATAATTGTACGTGCTATCCTTTTGTACAGCTGATAATGCAGTAAGTTTGTTTACATCAGCCTCACTGCAAGCAGCATCATGTGTTGTGCTGTGATGTTATGACAGCTGTGATATCATTGATGATGGGGATTTTTTAACTCCATTAAAATCTTATGAGATACTTTCATATTGCAGTTGATTACATGGCACAGGACCATACTTTTCAGTCCATATAGGAGATACAAGTCAGCTCAAAAGGACAAGATTTAAATGAAAGATGGAAGGATAAGAAAGAAACTCATTTGTAGACAATATAATGGTCTAGAAAACATTAGAAAAATCACAAAGTATGAGAATAAGATGAATGTATTAATGCTACAGAACTGTACATTTAAAATTTTATATTAAAAAATTGAAGTACATGTAAGAACTGTGCCATGATGTAAGAATATTTGTGATTTTCATTAGTGTCCAAATTTTGGTTGCCTGCACCTGGTTTTCTTTTTAAATTTACAGCCTCTAAGCTCTTACTTTAGACCTTTTGGGCCTGTGGCCTTTCGGAAATATCTGTTATAGGAGAAGGCAGGCAGATACAATGCTGTTGGTAATAGTCTAGTTCTTAAACTGGGTGGCAAATTTACTTTATAATTTACAACATGTATGTTATTTTGTGTTTAGAGAATGCTTCTATCATCTCTGCATACTTCCCTGTGCCTGTAGATGCCACACCCCAGGGAACCACTGTTTTCTGACCTCTGATCTCATAGATCAGTTTTGAATGTTCCTGAAGTTCATATCATAAAAACATATATACTATCTATATTTCAGCAAAATATGAAACATTTTATTAAAAAGGAAATACTGACTTGAGTTGTCTCAGGCCACACTTTTCTTTAATGGCAAATTCCATTTCAGCAATCCTTCTGTCTTTATTCCCCAATAGAAATCTTTTATCAGCTGAGCTGGAATGATTTTTTAGCAGCAGTCTGATTACCCTTTCTGCCATCATAGTCTCTGGTTCATTAATTTGAAATCATGAGCTTTGTTAGGAAATTACTAGAGGGAGAAGCAGTTCTAGCTCTGATGATGCGACACCCTGTGGACAGCTCTGAAGCCTAGGCTGAATAGTCACAGTAATAAGATCTGATTATTCCAGGATGTTAACACCAGAGAGTTTTTTAATCGGAAGGCAACCTTAAAGTTGAATTCCCTCTTTTTTGCTTTTTAAAGAATGGCAAAATAATGGGCTAGCAGAGTGGCTCAAGTGGTAGAGTACCTGCCTAGCAATCATGAGGCCCTGAGTTCAAACCCCAGCACTGCGGGGTGGGGTGGGGGGAGTAAGAATGGCAAAGTGAAAATAGACCCAAGTTTATCATTAGAATACTGGAATGTTAGTCTTCATGCTGCTGACTTGCCTTAAGACCTCAGGCAAGTAAGTTGACTTTACTCTGAGCCTCACTATTAAAAAGTGAGTACACTAGTACCTAATCTCCCCACTTCTTGGAATTGTTGGAGATGCTTGGTTTAACTGTATAGTGTCATGAGCAAAGGAGGGTTAGTATCATAATTATTATTTTACAGATGGGAAAACATTCAGAGAGATGAAATTAGTTACTCAAGGCTATTCAACTAGTTAATGGAAGAACTGGGATTTGCATCAACACTTCCACATTCCCTAGTGCGTGTTCATTCCACTGTTTTATGTAGCCTTTCCAGCCTTCTGAAACAGTAAGTCACATATGAACTAAATTTTTCAGAATTTTTCCTTCCTAATTATTCCCATTTGAGACTTAGCATTTCTGACCAGGGTAAGAATGTTCTTATGTAAAGAGGCTCTTTTCTTCCTGACTTTTAGAAACCATGCTAGTATTGACAGGAATTTACTAAGTGAGAACATGTGCTAACACTAGAAATATTGTGCACAGTCTTTCCTATTCAGAAAAAGGAAATACACCAGACTACATTCAGAAAAATAGATAGCACAACACACACTTTGCAAAGGAGGCACAAATCTATTACAAGAGGTGGCCTATGTCCATATTAAAACAAATGCCTTAAAAATCATTTGGTTGATAGGATAGGTCAAAAAAAGAGTTAATAAAATTTGTTCCCCCTTTGAAGTTTCCTCTTACTTGGTGGTGTGACATAACTTGGAAGAAATTTCACATGAAAAGCAAGTATCACATCGTGTACCACCCCCCATTCTGAAAAGCATATGGCCTTTTCTTTTCTAATGCACAGTATACCCAACTCTGCTGGTCTTGCTTTCTGATTTTGAGTTACCTACTCTTTACAGTGTACCTCTGAAAGGCTTTCCGGGGATTTGCCACCTGATCCCAACACTGATTTCCTTCCCTGCACTATTGCACTCTGGCCTGACAGTCCACTCCTCGTCAATAAGTCCAGCACCATGTAGGGAGAACAAGAAAAGTGACCCTTCCCCTCCAAGCCCCTCTTGTCTATAGTGTGAACAGTGACGCCTACCTACCCCACACCCCAAGGCTAACAGAAGTGTTTCACAGAGTGAAACCTTTCGGCCTACATGTGAATCCTGACATAGTAGCCAATGAGTGCTCATAGGCAGATTGCTTAAGCTTTTTAATTGTCATTTTTTCTCATCTCACAGGAGGGTAATAGTCACGCTTTTTCCTTTGAGAATTGGGTAAGGATCCAGTGGGGAAATGTCTAGCAAGCTGTCCAGTGCTAGGCATATGTCAGTCATCAGCATAGCATACCACAGGCTATACATTATTTTTGTAGTACAGCAAGACCAGAGCAGAGACTGAGAATAAGGAAAACCAGCCTGAGCCAGAAAAGGCCAGAATGACTATTTTTTAAAAGAGACCATTTGTATTATGGATATTTCAGTCTGTCCACTTTCATAATTACCACTAACTTAGGTTATTTTAATTCCTAATTTAATCAAGTTGTATTTTAGTTGACTGGGCTTCCCAAGTTACATGCAGCTTGCTTTTATTCCATAGGTTTTAAAACCAGGCCACAGTGTCTTGTTCCGTGACTATGGGCTGTACGATCATGCCATGCTTAGGTTTAAAGCTGGCAATAAACTTGGAGAAAACTTTTATGTTAGACAAGATGGAACCAGATCATATTTTTTTACTGATGGTAAGATGAATAGAATCTCTTTCAATCTCCATGATTGAGATTTATTTATTTATTTATTTCCTTCTTTCTTTCATTTCTGCTTATTCAATCGCATTGCTGTTGCAGGGGTGATTTGGGGGTGGTGGTCTTGCAGCCATCCTTAGCATACAGCACAAGAACCTAGACCAAGCTCTGATGCATGCCCCATACCCAACACCTGTGGTAACACACATCTGGCCCTGGCCTGTGAGGAGCTTATAGGCCTCTAGTGATAGTGTCTAGTGAGTAAGCCTGGGTTAGTGAACAGGCTTGGACATGCCATATGGATGCCCCTGGGAACTGTGCTAGAAGAGAGGGGGGCTGTCAGAAATTCATTTTGTTCAGTCAGAAATAAAGTAAATAAGTACAGTGCCTTGAGATTACTTTTCCAGGTCCCAGAGATAAGAAACATTTTCAATAAAAGTGACTGAATTTGTTTTCAGATATACAAATTTGCCACAAAGGGATATTTGAACGTCACTTTGGATAAGAAAATACCAAATATTTCAGTTATGTAGGGGTTTTGAACATTAGTTTTAAGACTGCCTAATAATCTTGGCCATAATTATCATCTTAATTTCTATTTTTATAAACATTCTAATTTCTTGAAATACTCTTTTAGATACTAAAATGAAGGTAAAAATGAGTGATTATCAGCCAGGTACCTGTGGCTTTCACCTGTAATTTTAGCTACTTGGAAGCCTGAGATTGGGAGGATCACTGTTTGAGGCCAGCCTGGGCAAAAAGTTTGCAAGACCCCATCTCAGTCAGCAGCTGAATGCAGTGGTGCACACCTGTCATCCCAACTATGCAGGAAGCTGGGATTGAGAATATCGAGGTTCCAGGTCAGCCCCAGGGGAAAAAAGTTTGTGAAACCTCTCATCTCAATAGAAAAAGCTGGGCATGGTGGTGTGCACCTGTCATCCCAACTACAACAGGGAGCGTAAAGTAAAGGATCATGGTCTAGTCCAGGCAGGACAAAAAGCAAGACCGTATCTCCAAAATAACCAGAGCATAAAGGGCTGTGGCTGTAGCCCTGCTCTCTCAAAACAATAGAGCACCTGCCTAGCAAGAGCAAAGCCCTGAATTCAAACCCCAATACCGCCAAAAAAAAAATGAATGATATAAATGTCAAGTGAAAATGGAAAACATTTTAATGTTTCTAATTGGTGAGTTCTTACTAAATCAGTTGTAAATAATGGAGAAGCCCAGTAGTGTCTGCAGAGTACTTCAGAGCACGTTATTTGCAGTGAGAAGAGTCTGTATTTTTGCTACTGAGCCATTGGTTCTGTTTGCTTCATTTAATGTGTGGTGCTGTATTGTAGAGATTAAATTTTCCTCAGGGCATAGCACCATCAGGTGAATTGTTTTCCACTCTGGTCACAGTCTCCTCCTTCCTGTTATTATAAATGTGCTTGATTTAAACAAAATGAGCACATGCAGGCCTTGCTTGGATATATATATAGCCAGTTTGGGGTTTTGCTCAGACTTCCTTATTTGGTAACTTATTTATAGGGCAAGATAGGTACACTCTAGGTTGTCCTTCAATTTTTACTGATTAAGTTGTTCCTTTGGAGGTTTCTATTTGAGTATATGACAATGAGAAGTAGGAAGGTTTAAACAAACAAACAAAAAGCCCAAAAAGTTTGGTGGGGTGGCACATGCCTGTAATCCCAGCACTGGGGTAAGGTAGAGGCTGGGGGAGGCTGAAGCAGAATTTCAAGTTGGAGGTAATCCAGGCTACATAGTGAAACCCTGTCTCAAAAGAAAGAGAGAAGGAGGGAGGGAGGAAGGGAGAGAAAAACAGAAGAAAAAAGTTGTATAAGAAATAAAAACATTTAAAACCTTTAATTTTTGCATCGAAGTTTTCATTACCAAAAAAGCAAAATAACCCAGCTATCCTCAGGCCTCTCCCCCTCACTACTGTAAAGTAGATGTGATGTTACCAAACTTTGAGTGATGACCTGGTTGTCTTACAGAATTCCTGGCTCAGCTCTTTGTGGACACGGGTTATGAAGAAGTGGTGAATGAGTATGTGTTTCGAGAGACAGTGAATAAAAAAGAAGGCCTGTGTGTGCCAAGGGTTTTCCTTCAGAGCAAATTTCGAAAGCCTCCACAGGACCCAAGCCCTGCAACCCTGGGTTTGGGACCCCAAGATGGCAACTGTGCCTGCCCTTGAAGAGGAGAGTTTCAAATCACTTTGTAATTTGTACATTTTTATATTTTGAGTTTTTAAAAATGAACATATGTAATTTTTGCATTAAAAAGGAACATGTATGTTATACCATAGAAAAATAAATAAAACTTCAAGGCCTGAAGGTTAAAGAAAATTTTCATGGCATAACATAGTTTAGCCAAGTGTAAAATTCCACAAAGGAAAGCATGAGAGCCCTGTAGCACTTACATAGATCCTTGTCATTATTCATGTGACCTGTAGAAAAATGAGGCCTAATAGACCAAAATACCACCCATATGTATTTTTAGCCTGAAGGATTGTTCTCTTTCTCCAGTGTCTCATATTTGCCCATTTTTCTCCCCTTTAGTTTATGCACATGCCTCTTCAAGACCAGTGTTCCATAAACACAGTGTTTGCTGCTTCTGATCAAGAATGCACTGTGGCTCTCTGCCTAATTCTTGGTGCCCTCAGTAGCTACCCTGGAGAGGGAGGAGATCACCCCCAACCTTGTCCCCCTCCTTCATCTGTGAAGGGACATTAGAATGCACTGGCCCAATTTCCTGTTGGGAAACAGTGGTTAGGGGATGATGAGTCCAAATCCCAATGGCTCATATTGTAATAGAATCCTAAATTGGTCTGCTGACCTCACTCTCAAGCATTGCCATGACAAAAGAATTAAGAATTAGAATCAGTTCTTTTGGCCTGCACACAAAAATTGGTCCTGCAAGCTCTTGTGTTTTCCTTTGCAAAAAGCTGTTGGTGAGAACACCTTGATCATATGACTGGACTACATATACAGCTCAGTAGGGTTTGCAACCCCAACCTCATCAAGAGAGGAGGGGTCCTGTAGAGTAGGGAAGGGGCTGGATAACAGGCACCATGGTTCTGCACCATCTTCACAGTCAGTCCTGGTCCTGGACAGAAGAGGGACAGGCCTCAGCACTCAGCATGCTTGCTGGGTGACTCCATCTGTTTCAGTTTCTTTAGAGAGGCTGATGTGGGGAAACGAGGAGCCCTGTCTCTTGCTAGTCTGCTTCCTTTGTGTATTCTCTCCCTTTCCTTTGGAGGCCAGAAGATGATGGTTTTTCCAGGTAAGAGCAAAACCGATGAGGAATAGTAGAGTTTGTCTTTTGCAGGGTTGTTTTGTTTTTTCTGAAAACTTGTAAAGAAAGTGTGCCTTCAGGGAGTCTCACAGTCCTCACAAAGGAGGGCCAAGCCCTGCCCTGGAGCAGTTTGTTCTGGCCCAGGTTTCTTATTTCTAGCTCAAGGTGCTTATACCCACCTTTAGCCTCTGATGTAGCCCAGCACTCCCTCCATAAAGTCTTTCCGCCTATTTCTCCACTAGATCTGACCACTGTGTCATTTAGTGCCTGAACCTGATGAAAACAGAATGAAGTAGGGAGTAGGCTTAGGTTATCTGAAAGAAGTCATCGGGAGCTGGGTGTGGTGGTTCAAACCTGTAATCCCAGCACTCAGGAGTCAGAGACAGGAGGATTGTGAGTTCAAGGCCAACCTGAGCTCCCTAATGAAACCCCTGTCTTAAAAAAGAAAAGGAAAGAAGTCATTGAAAATTCTGACCTCATCCCTTCACCTGTTTGGACCTCAGATTAGAACCCTCATTTGTAAGAGATGAATAACTACTGACCTGGAAGTGTGAGGATTTAAGGAAATGATTACATATAATGTGCCACACAGAGTCAATCCTTTAACATCCACATGTATCATTTCCTTCAGTCCTCATTCTTTGATGTCACAGTGGACACACCTGTGTAACAAACATCTCGGTGGAGAAATAGTTGATCAGTACTCCAAGACCCCCACCTTGTCTGCTTCCAGACAGTTCTCCAAGCGTAACCACTGTTCTGATGTCTAACACCACCGTTTTTCCTTTTCATTTTATTCATAAGTTCTCCCCAAAGGAATTTAAAGGCAACTTACCTTACAACAAGATTTTAAGTAAGAAAATTGGAGTAAAGGAAAAAACGTTGAGACCAGGAATAAGATTAGCATGCTAATGACATTATAGGAGGTCTTGTGTACTTAAGATGAATCATAAATTTGACTCCATAATGTCTGTGAAAGGGACTTGGGTCTAGATTCAAGATAAACCTGAGACAGCTGCTCCTGAGATCTGAGGAATCTTTCCTTCTGTTTGCATAAAGAGTACTTTTGACAACTTCAACAGTAAATACAAGTTTCTGATAATTTAACTGAAGTATCCTGCTAGGCATGATACTTCATCTGATAGGACTAAAAGGGGACAGGAATTGCTAAAAGATTGATGGGCTGGTGTGGTTCTTTTGGCCTCTGACACTGATCCTCTGAGCACAGTGTTCTCAAGGTGAGAATTTGATGTGAAGAAGGAGTTGGGGAGTGGTGGTTCTGAGACAAGTAGCTGTGGAAGGTTGCTGGTACAGTGCAGACCATTTGCCTAAGAGACAGGCAGCAGGGACTGGCCACAGGAAGCAGAACAGGCTGATGACCCTGGCTGTAAGAAAAATCCTCTCTACCTTTGCCAAGTGTCGGCTGAGTGGGCAGGTTAAGTATAAAAAACACTGCTTTAGACCCACTTCCTTAGTTTCCTGCCTCCATTCTTCCTGGACACACTTTCATAGTGCACTCCAATCAAGACAGTGGAGCCAGCTGTCCCACAGTTCGGGTCCCCAGAGACCAAGAAAGCAAGGCCAAACAAAACTGATCATAAGAGTCTTTGTGGAATCATGCAGACTATGAAGTCAATCACAGCCTTGTTCTCCACACATGTAAAATAGGTCCCCAGAAAGGTAGCGTCACTGATTACAATAGGAAGAGGACTGAGTGCTGTAGTACTATACAGTATGATGGGTATAAAATAAGCCGAATCATACATGTAATTCTATATATTTGGAGTTTTGGTATGCATTACAGGATTTGAAGTATGGTCATCCAGGTTCAAGAGCAGGACTTGTCAGTGCAAGTCACCTCCTCTGAACCTCAGTCCTCCCATGTTGAAGACCCAAGATCCAAGTGCATAGAGCACCAGCTGCTGCCTAGATGAAGTGAAATCATTTACATCAGATGCTTTGTTTATACTATAAGTTGTCATTCGGTGCTAGTTATTTCTACTGTTTTGTAGTCTCCACAAAAATAGCCTCTTTCATAATTAATGCCCAAGTGGTAGAAACGCTCACAAGTCTACCTCTCTTCAACAAGGCTGTCTTAATCTTGGAGTCTTTGCAAAGGCCTGGGATTTGGATATGCCACCACCAGGTGGTGCCAGATGCTAAAGGTTCTTGTTGACCTGCTGCTACCTTAATTATACATTGTTCGTTTTCTATTGTCATTGCAGAGGAAGAAAAGTACTTGTTACAAATGTGTTCTCTAGATCAACTGTAGCTCATAAGAACAATTTTTGCTTCACTGTGGGCATAAGAAAACTTGAGGATACTTTTACCAAACATTAAGTCTTCTTTGTTACCTGACTGCAGTTTGTTTTCAACTAAATTTGAGCAACATTTTTAGGCAGTCTGTGTGCAGATGTCTGCAAAACCCCCAGGCACATTGGAGAGCATAATTTTTTTCTAGACACTTAAGGAAGGGAAAATGGTGAAATAAACCAAGTAAACCAAGAGGGTGTTTTGCAGGACCATGTTTTCTGTTACTAAAAACAAATGCTCCCGCCGAGTGGCACACAGTAGTTAATCTAGCCCTCAGGAGGCTTAGATAGGAGGGACGGCAAGTTCAAGGCTAGCCTGGGCTACAAAGCAAGACCCTATCTCAAAAAAATTGTTCCAGCCTGGCAGAGTGGCTCAAGTGGTAGAGTGCTTGCCTAGCAAGCGTGAGGCCCTGAATTTGAGTCCCAGCGCTGAAAAAAGTGGTCAAAAAATGTTCTATTGAAAATAAAAATCCATTTCTTCACTTCTCCTTTCTGCCCTTCTCAAATGTGTGGCATTTCATTAGGATGCTCATTGGGTACTAGTGGGGTCCAAGCATTCTGGGGCCACCCAGGTGGCAGCAGCTCAAAGGTCTAAACATTGGGTTCGCATAAATCAAAGTTCATGTAGTTTTGAAATTAAAAGTAAAATGCTCACGACATGTTACATACATAAAAGGAAATACAAAACTGTATGTTTTGACTGTGTTTCATAATATTCTAAAAGGGGAGGGAGATGACACATGGAGGGAAAGAAGGAACCAATCCAAAATGGTTATTTAAGGGTCATTCAATTACATACTTTTTCTTCATACTTTTCTGAGATTCCCAAATTTTCCATAACAAGTGTATCTTTTACCTTAAGAAAAAACTTTCTGAAACTCCTAAGTTAAATGAACTCAATTTTTGTTGCAACCATAGCCAGGCTATGGTTACACAACTGTAATCACAGCACTTGAAACAGGTAGGAGGATCACAAGTTTGAGGCCAGCATGGCTACATAGTGAGATCCTGACTCAAAAAAACAAAAAATCCCTGCAACAAATCCTCTAGAAATGCCATTTCAACCTTTAAGATTCATACCCACTAGGAACTAGGGGATACCTCTCAAGAATAAGAAAATGGGTGTTCCTTAGATATTCTGTCAGGTCCTACGGTGTCATGGTGAGGTGCCTCCACATCGTAGTTTTCCACATGTCAGACTGGTGCCTTCATGGCTGCTATGAATTTGGAAATCCATATTCTTTAGTTTAGGGAAATGAATTGTGTAATTATTTTCCTCTACTCATGCTAACACACACATTTTCTCTCTGGAACTGTTACTAGAATATTGAACTTGAACTGATTCTCTAATGAATTTTTACATTCCTGCTTTCATGTTTTTAAATTCCAGGAGCTCTTTCTTATCACTTTAGTGTTCTTTTTTAAATAGTAACCCCATTCTTGTTTCATGGTGCAGTGTCCTCTCTTGTCTCTCTAAGGCATGTGTTCTCCAAGGGGGCAAAAATTGGTTTGGGGGAGTTGGCAAGAAATCTGATAACATTACACTGATCCGTGGCCCTTCAAATTTCAGCTCTGTCCAACAAAATCATATTCTATTTTTTTTTCATTTTTCTTTTATTATTCATATGTGCATACAAGGCTTGATTCATTTCTCCCCCCTGCCCCCACCCCCTCC